TCCTCAAAACCTCCTGATCAGAGGCCTTACTGTTGGATTTGGTCTATCATCTTATCCAAGACGCCCAGATATAGGTAGCCATACCCTCATCTCAACTGCTTTTACTTTATAGCTGTATGTAATATTTGTCTGATTACCTTCCTTCACAACGACTGTTCTTTCATCTAAGCTCCCTATATATGTTTCTTAGTTTCCTTTTTGATACTGGTGCACTAGGTGAGAGCGTTAATTTCTCCAAGTTCTCTTACCTCATCATGTGTTGTAGAAATTTCCATTTCCTCGTGTTTATTCTGAATGAAAGAATCTTTTATATTTTTCCTGAAACCTCTTTAACATTATTGTAATTTCTAGGTATATTCCTAGAGTTTCATCTATGGCATTTTCAGCATATTTCGGTAGAAGCATATATCTGATGTCTCATGTTTCGTTTTTCATCTCTGAGGAAATTATCTAATATTCAGTCGTATATGGGTAATTAAAAACTAAGTAGCAGTTCCGGACATTCTTTTTTTTTTACTATTTCTCAATGTATTTTTCAATATTTGGAAGTTATTTTTCTCTATTCAAATAGCCATCATATTTTCATGCACCATTTTCCGCCAGCTGTTATAACAATTTCAAGATTCCTGTTTTCTGGAAGTGACACACGTATTCTGGGAAGTTTTTGTTAAGTTTTTGTACCGTCATACAAACAAAAGTAAATTTACTTGGTTATTTAATTAATATTTTTAACAGGGATATTTTCTCAATAGCTTAATGTTGAATAAGTAATATGGCCTTATTACAAGTTTGATCTTCATAAGGAACTATTTTCTTCCGTCATTACATAATATAAAACTCTTCCCATCTAGGTTTGGTTTGATTTGGTTTGTTCTACGGCATATCAAACTCAATGGTTTATTTTTTATCAATAGCGATCTATCACACTTCAAATGTAGACGACAAAAATATATTTTTAAAAGAATTGTACTTCTTTCATTGGGTAAGTGATCCAGTTTCTAAAAGGTAATCCTTGACCGAAACGGTAACGGGACGACTGTTTAAAAATTGGTTTCCCAGAAAAGAATTGTAAAATGGTTCTATCCTACCTGGAGGCAGATATCCTATAATAATATTTTCGAAGATCTGAGCCGGTTTTACCTCATATTGTACTGCTTCTGAACAAACAAGGATGTCTATTACATCACGTGTTCCCGTTAAAATAACATTAATACTAAATAGAAAAAATCCATTATTTGTTTATATCACTAAATATCTTTACAAAAGGTCTACTTTCTGGTATGTCAATCTGTTTGCCAAGTAGAGAGCAAATGCGTAAAATCTTGTGCAATCGACCTTCTCAAAACTGTCTTACCAAACCACTAACAACTGAAAGTTGATAATCCGTAGTCGACTTTGTCAAAACCGAATCAATAAGAAATAACATCACGTAACACGAGATATGGAGGTCGTTGAAAGTTTTACTTACAAGGCGATATAACGGGCTCGATGTCTGTTTTTGTAATATTCGCGAATTTATGACTTCGTGTTTGTATTTGTGTTGAGTGTGTAAAGCAGTCCGAAACTCCATTTCTTTCCTTCTTCCTATCGACAAACGTCCGATCTCAAAAAATCTCGAAATAACTTTCAAATCCCGTAAGAATTCTCGTACAAAGCGAGAGTCACGTTAGTGCTGAGCAGCTGATTTATTCAAAGCAATGAGCAAGCAATTCCCATTCGAGACGAAAGCCGATCAAAGCATAAAACGACCGGCCCTGGAACGGGAATAAACAAAGTCAATAAAATGGAAAGTGCAGACGATTACGTCTGACACCTTCCATTCGGGCAGAAATGGCCGAACAATCGTTTGGTATCTTTAAATTATTAGTATGCTTTTTTTTTTAAATTTTATATTTAGTTGTAAGATACATAACTGTAATCGCTGTATATTGTAAATACTAAGAATGTCAGCCATTTTGTTTCGATTTGTTTGTCTGTTTATGTGTTGATCTATTTTATTCGTTCAAACCTAAAATCTCTTGCTTCAAATTTGTTTTTCTTCAAACGATGAAAAATAAAACAAACAGAAAATGTACATCGTTATTCCTGGTGGAGGGATTTAAAGATGTATGTAAAATATCAGGAGAGACCCAACAAATCTGTATTAATGTGCGGATTGATCAATCTATTCAAATTTCCAAAATATATTGGCAGTATCTCGTATACATAGACATGAACATACTAAGATAGATAGATAGAAAGACTGAAATTGATAAAGGACCGAGACAAACATATATATATATATATATATATATATATATATATATATATATATATATATTTAAAAAAAAATTATAACATAAATATGTTACAAAATCTCTACAAAAATAGCCATTTCGTTTCAACACCTCCGGTGTCTTATCAATGATGATGTTGAGTGTAAAAGAAATAGATTTATTTTACATTCAACATCATCACTTGATAAGACACCGGAGGTGTTGAAACAAAATGGCTATTTTTGTACTGATTTTATAACATATTTATGTTATAATTTTTTTTTTAAATAAATAATTATATCTGCTCTACTTTGTATTGAGCACTGTTTTAAGAATAGTAATTGTTGGTTATTAGAATTCATTCCGAATACACCAATTACATACTTGAATATATATATATATATATAAATTTAATTAAAATTAATAGAACAATAGAACAGACAACCTTGTAAGCATAACAAATGTTTTTTGAGAGAGTTTTAAGTTAATGTACGGTAAAGGAGAAAGGGAGGGAGGAGATGATAGATATGGTCGAAAGTAGAGATGGAAGGGAGTGATAGGAATAATTTTAAATCTATTTTTATTAAAATACTTAAGAGTAAGGGAGGGAGTAAGGACCAGACATTGACGTATTTAATAAGTCATCTCACAGGAAAAGAGACTAAGAGAAAAAAAAAGAAAAGATATAAGAAAGCAAATGTGGAAGGAGGGGGTGGTTAAAGTGAGGAAACAAGAAACGGAAGAATAAATTAACATTTATAGGCATATTGCAGAAATAAAAAATTACACATTAACAAAATGAAATAGGATAAAGGGAAAATAATATAAAAAGAATATAAAATTAAACAAACAATATTAATATTATTAAACAACTAAAAAGTAAAAAAAATAATAATCAAAATCTAAAATTTTAAATTCCTTATTTAAAATTTAAATTTAAAACAACTTAAAAATTTCAAAAATATCGAAAAATATATTGAAATGAAACAAAATTTAAAATAATAATATTATTATATCGTAATAATAATAATAATAATAATAATAATTATAATTATTATTATTAATATAATAAAAGTACCAATGACAGGAGCCCTAGGACTGGTTGGAAAAGATTGCAGTAGACTAATTGAAGGGATTCCTGGAAGTCCATGCCTCAAGGAGATACAAAAAATTGTTCTGACAAGTACAGCCCACACCTTACGAAGGGCTTTATCTATGTAATTTAATTCTTTTATTTTTTTTATTTTTTTTTGTCAGTGGAAAGTGTCATGACGCCATTTCTAACCTTAGGTCCCTGGGCGGGACCCGGAAAGAAATGTGTAAACGCCTGAAATCAAAGAAAACAAAAATGATAATAATAATAATAATAATACCACCAATGAGAGGAATGGCGTTAGAGTGATAATGATGAAACGGTAATACGAGATCAGATATAACCCATTTAACCATATATATTCCTATATGCATATATATACATATATATATATATATATATATATATATATATATATATATATATATATATATATATATATATATATACCCACACATATATTCAAATACCTATACCCCACACACATATCCATATATATACATATACAGATACATACACACATACATATATATATATATATATATATATATATATATATATATATATATATATATATATATATATGAAATAATAATAAATAAAACGAAAGAATATTAATCTACATCCCAGTGTGTCAAAAGATTTTAATATTTTTAATATTTTTTATTACTCAAAAAAAAAAAAAAAAAAAATATATATATATATATATATATATATATATATATATATATATATATATACACACACATAAGAAATATATATATATATATACATATATCCACACATATATAATATATATATATATATATATATATATATATATATATATATATATATATATATATACAAAAGACAATATATATATATATGTATGTATGTATCCACACATACAAATACAAGCAAGTAAATACCCCATATAAACGCCTACATACAAATACACAAACATATGCATATAATTATAAATACCATATAATCATCTAACAGTGTAACACAATTATATGAACTCATAATGATACACATATGCCCATATACAAATATCTTTACGCATATACTGTATAACAGAAACAATTGTTCCTATATCTAGACACCAGGTGTTATTTCATGTCGAAATAATTTAAAATTCCGGAGTTTCTATGGAAAGGTTTGTCAAATATTCGATGTATTTTTTTTTTTTATTTTGAGACGATGTCTGTGTTTACATTTGAAGATAATTTATTGCGGTGATTTAGTAATTCCTCGTGGGGGTGAAGCCGTTTTCCACCAGACCACAATAGTAATTAGACAGTGCTGTTTGATGTTTAAGGGATTTATTAGTGAAGGAATGACGACGGTTATAAAGGCGCTGCTTCCAATTCCCAGCAGATATTCCAATATAAAACTTTTTTTTTTCCATTCGTATTCTCTTTGCTGAAGATCGTGGCTTCATACACCACATTTTCTGTAATGCATAATCCTCCCACTTAGTCCCACTCCTACTGACATTATTCAATATAATACTTCTTCGCTTTCAAACATAAATCATTTTTTTTCTGAATTTACTGAATATCGCTTGAAAATCGAACAATATTTTCGAGATGAAAAAATATTTTTAAATAATAACATTATTATATTATGCTCTACTTTGTATCGAGCACTTTTTAAAAAAATAAATGCTAAAGAACTTTATTGTTAATCTGACTATTTTTGTTTTTTTTGGATAGATAGATAGATAGATAGATAGATAGATAGATAGATAGATGAAAAACCGAGATATTGAACGGAGATAGATAGATAGATAGATAGATAGATAGATAGATAGATAGATAAGTAGAATGAGATAGTTCACAGAAAAAGATGGATAGGCTAACAGAATAAGATAGGGAAAAGAGATAGATAGATAGATAGATAGATAGATAGATAGATAGATAGAAAGCGCTTATCTAATAGAAAGCGCATGTGATGACTCTACTTTTACTAAAATGTTTTTCTCCTATTTCACTGTAGGTTTAATCAACATCAGTCAAAATCTATGTGCAAGTTGTAACTAAAGACAATAAGCATTTTCAGAGAAACAACCTTATAAGAAAAGTGTTCCATTATAGAAATGGAAATCTGGAGAATGGGACAAAAACTTTACTCGAATAAGTTTCATTCTGATATATTTAACACCATAGCAGGACCATCCACTTCATTCTAAGATCTGTAGTCTGATTAACTTGACTCTCTTCGAATAAAAGCTAGCTTAAATGAAAAAAAAAACTTGAAATAATATCTCACTTTCAGAAGAAGTTAGGGGTTTCTTATTCTATGTTTAGAATGAATCCTGTCCCGGTTGACTGCTAAAGTTATTGTTTTCAGGTCGACCATACCTGAGCCAATAAAACAGTTGGGAAAAATCGTATTCTACAACTTCACACTCGGCTACATTCATCTCAGTCAAACAACGTGGCACATTATTGCGAAGTATTTTATCAAGAGATCAAGTTCCGAGGCAAAGCCCTGGGATAAATTGATTCGGGCGATTCCCAAAGGCATTAGAGTGAAAGGAACATCAACATCAGTTGCAAATCGAAATTCGATCCCGTTTTCGATTTCGGTAAAAGTTGCATCGATTCCCACTTTACGATTTCAGATAGATGCCTGGTATCAGCCAAGATCGACACAGAAGGAATAGGAAAAATGAAACTATTTAGATTTTAATTCAACTTTCTTACCATTCTGCTGCTGACGCTGTAGTTATTCAATAACGAGTGTGAAATTTTACACATCGACACAGGTATATATATATATATATATATATATATATATATATATATATATATATATATAATAAAATGGTCATGGAATAATATATAATATTTGAAGTTTATTTCAATCGTTCATGAGCTTCCTCTTCTTAGCTAAGGTTATCATGTCATTTACGTTTATTATCAATTTTATCTCTATTCTCATGTTAAGCTTGTAGAGTTATTATACATTCTTATTGCTCAAGGAGTCTTATAGTCTTGTAAAAAACTCGGGAATTCCAGTAAGTTATCTTTAATCATTTCTCATATACTATGGTTCAAACTTCATCTAAGAATTTGACATTTTTGTTGTTACACGATTTAGACAATTTTGCTGTTACACCCGGTATATATGAATAAACAGCACCCAAAATAGTCTACTAAAGATTTCACAATAGACACCTAGATAGATAATGAATGAAACTAGATAGATAGATAGATAGATAGATAGATAGATAGATAGATAGATAATTGTTAAATTGTGAAATAAATATTACAAATCCGGAGACTATATGAACTAGTCAATCATTATAAAGAGCTACAGGTCAGAGGTAAGAGTGATAGCAGTTTCGAGTTAGGCAGTTCGCTGCCTGGCTTGTGACTGACATGATATCTACATTCGGGCAGAGGCTGGCTCAGTTGAGGCTCTCTCATCGGAAAGAGACTGGTTTGAGAAAAACAAAGTATCCCTTCTCCGCAGTTATGTAAGTATCTAGCCATTTCGAGTCAGTTCGCTGTCTGGCAAGACCTCTGCCTTCGGGTAGAGGGTGACGCAGACTGTTCTCTTTCTAACCGGGCTTCCCGCATTAAGAATAACCTTGTGTCGCATTCCGACGAGGTGGGGAGGAATTGGTAAATATCCTAGCCGTTTGGAGACTAATACAATACATGCCTCACGGGAAGGAGCTGAAGACTTACGCACAGTGAATCCTTATACGAAGTACATTATATACAAGAGTGTTCTAACAACATCTATAGTAAAGTGGCGCTATAATAATAATCAATATGGCTATATATATATATATATATATATATATATATATATATATATATATATATATATATATAGAAAGATAGATAGATAGATATAGATAGATAGATAGATAGATAATATGTAAAGTGAACAATTAGTGAACACTCAGAGGTGACAGGCTGTTTCATACTGGATGCAATCGTTGGGGTCAGTCAGTCGTTCACTACCGACTGTTCGGTTAAACTCTCTTCCTACGGACGGGAGGAATCCGAAAGAGGCTACGCCGAAGGGCGGAGTCTCTTTCGGGGTGGTAAAACCGGCCCTGAACCCGTTTATACGGGTTCAATGGGCATATTTTTGGCCGAGCCCACGGACTCGGAATGCCCACGTTAAAAAGACCTTGTGCCACATGACACCCTCGTGGGGGGGGGGGTGACTGAATATCGTCAGGTGGCGGCCTGACGATTGCGTCCAGAATGAAACAGCCTGTCGCCTCTGAGTGCGCATTTCAATGTTCACTTTTTTATTTATATTTACATACGCTCTATCTCTGACATTGAGCACATTCTCCCTTAAATATAGCTCACCTTAAAACTATATTTCTTTATATATATATATATATACATAGATAGATGGACACATTGAGATAGATAATGAACAGAGAGAGAATACACACACACACACACACACACACACACACATATATATATATATATATATATATATATATATATATATATATATTAATAGAAATGACAATAAAGAGTCCGCCCTATACATGTAAATGTGTGCTCATATTAAATTGCAGAGCTTCAATATATTTTAAATTAGATTTCAAGTGGTCAGTAACCGACATTTATACGCTTCACGCAGTCATCAGGCGGTCGATGACTGTAATGATTATTTTCTAAGAGTAGCTTAGATGTGGCACAAGCCCGAAAGTAGGGGGCATCTAGTGAAGATTGAACTCACTTCTCAGTTGTAACTAATCTAGCGAGACAAGCTTGCTAACCATTTCACCACGCCGAGATGTCCTGTCGCTGACTGTATTATGAACCCAGTGCGTGCATAACAAGCAGAAACCAACCAGATTAACCGGGGTGTGTCACATATCCTCCCAACATCAAAATAGCCGTACATATCGCAATTACTATAAAAAAAAAACAAAAAAAACACGCCGGAACTGATTCAACGCTGTGAAAAAACTTTCTCAATATCATGGGGAAGAATAGAAACACAGCAAAGGAGTTTACTGCTTTAATATATTTAGTGCTCGATTTTACGGGGCCCTTAAAACCACCGATGACAGAGCATTGTATTAACAGACATCTGAAAAGCGCATGAAAATGGCCGTTGTTGTCGGTTACCACGCATTTGAAATTATATATATATATATATATATATATATATATATATATATATATAAAAAGAAGATAAACGTTTTTATATATATAAATATTATACTTTGTTTTACATAATTTCACGACACGTGTTTCTGGTCTGGTCTCGCAACCGTCTTCAGGTGAAAGTGGAGATTTTTACATATTATTAAAAATAATTAATTTTTCTTCATGTTCAAAATATTCTCGATATTTCTGTTTGTGTGTTGGCAATCCGAATTTTCTTTCTATTGTCAATGAAGAGTTTTCATAAAACAATTAAAGGTTTGTCCAGCATTATCGGCATTTAATCTTTTAATGTTTTTTACAAAAAATAAACCTGTGCAAAAACAGTCAAAAGATCAGAACACACACACATTCACACAACCAACTCTTACAAATGTTTACCTATATCCAGGAACAAAAATTTCTGATTCCACAATCCACATACAATCAATACAAAACAATAAACCTAGGAACATCTGGAACAGGCCCTAACAAAAGCCAACACACCTATATAGAGCCATCAGAAACAACAACCCCAATTTTACCAAGGGAAACTCTCACTGGCTAGAAAACTCAAAATGTACAGGAAGAAGGTATCTCTTAGAAACCCAAGATATATTAAAAAGAAACAATCATTATTTTTAGAACCCCAGTCGAACAAGAAAACCCGTTTAGATGACACAAAACCCAAAATAATAAACCTATCTACATATACACTTACAAATGACGAAATCAACCTACTGAAATTGGGCTAAAATTCTACCCTGCTCCTAAAAGCAATATAGTAGTCTTAAAAAAAGACATTAAGAAATTTGAACGCAAACTGAGACTAAGAAAAATATTTAACAATAGCAAAAGTAGTACAGATGAGTCACTAGTAAAAATCGTTTATTCCCAAACAAAAATAACAATACCAATGAGATAAACATATTTTTTGAAAACTCTGGAACCTTGACCTACAGGAAAAATTTCGACAATCTCACATATAGTAGCCTTAGAGAACATTCGAAAAAATAATAACATAATTATAAAAAGTGTGTGGACAGAACATACTATAAAACAAAAATTCTAGAAACACTAGAGGATAGGAACAGCTACAAAGTAATTGACACTAACATAGACAAAAACATTATAACAAAAATTTCTGCATTAATAAAATATTAACAAAAAAAAGAGAAGGATTTCCTAATATTTGTACCAAAAACAAGTAATTTCTACGGACTACCTAAAGTTCATAAATCGAGTGAAATAAAAGCAGCTATACATTCTGAATACAAAACCCCAGTTTCAGACCCATAATGCAGGACCAGTCTGTCCCACTAGCAAACTCAGTAACCTAATAGACATAATATTGCAACCATATATTAAAAAGACGATATCCATTTCCTTATGCATACCACATAGATCCGTTATGGCAACTTTTGACATCAGTAGCCTATTAACATACCCCATGAACTAGGGAAAAAGCGATCTCATTTGGATTGAAAAAACATCCAGAAATACTACATCCGAGATTCACTAAAGAGTTCATTATCGATAGTAGACCTAATTCTAAACAATAACACCTTTGAATTTGACAACAAAAGCTATATCTAAACCCTATATATATATAAATATATATATATCTATGAAAAGATAGAACAAATATATGGGACAAATATAAAGACCCCATTCACTAAAACTTGGAAAAAGATATCTAGATGATTGCTTCATCTTTTGGAAATCATCATGGGGTGATATTAACCAATTCCATACACTATTTACACCCAAAAATCAAATTCACGGAATATAATTTTAACGAATTACCATTTTTAGATATACTCATTAGAAATAAAAACAACCACATAATCACAGATATTACCAGTCCCACAGACACCCAACAATACGTTCATTTCAAGAGCCATCACCCAAAAAGCTGCCTAAAATCCATCCCTATTCCCTAGCACGTAGAATTTGTACAATAGTGACTGATAAACATCTCCGAAAAATCCGCTTAGAAGAACTACATAAAACTCTCAAGAAACGAGGCTACCCCACAACACTAATAAACAAAGGTATTGAACTCGGCCCAACTTAGAAATAAAAAGAAACGTAACGTCGAACAAACTCTAGCATATGTCTCAACGTACAACAAAAACAACCCAGAAATATTCCCAGAAATCACAAAAAATCTAGATTTACTTAGCAAGAATAATAAACTGAATAATATACTAAAAACAACCAAAATAATTAAGAGCAAACGCCAATCTAGAAACCTAAAACACATATTAACCTCATCTAAATTTAGTCAACACAAAATACGGGAGTCACAAAATGCAACAAAAAAAGATGTGGAGTTTGTGACATCATTATAGAAGGAAACCCTACACTTTTGAAAACCCCCAAAAAAAACATTCACAATAAACAAAAACTTAAACTGCAACTCCAAAAATGTAGTTTATGCACTTAAATGCACAAAATGTAAGAAGTCATATATAGGCATCAGCCAACAACTGAACAACAGGGTCTCCCTACACAAAAGCAATATAAAATTGACAGACAACAGAAAACATTTTTGTATCACAACACATTTTCAAATGTAACCAGGGTAAGTTTAATATCATGCCGATATATCAAACAGACAATTACTCGTATCTACAAATACAGGAAAAAAAACTTTATAGACAAATTCAAACCCGAACTGAATAGATCGTAACCCCCAAAAAAAAAAAAACAAATAAATGCACACAGGGTGACCAAATACAATGATCGCTCACATACATGGACGCACACTCATATACAGGAGACACGAGGGATATATATATGTGTATGTACACATACATACATTTATGTATGTATATGCGGATGTTGACAACTTAAAACACGTGTGTGTGTGTGTGTGTGTGTGTGTGTGTGTGTGTGTGTGTGTGTACTGGTTCCATGTAGCTTGGGAAATATGTGTGTATATGTGTGTGTGTACTGACTACTTGTGGTGGGATAGTGTGTATGTGTGTGTGTATGCGTGTATAAGTACAAATAAGTTTACGAATTCCTCGTAGTAAGGAAATATACGCACGCATATATACACGCATGCTGACAGGAACACGCCAAAATAGAAACAGATCCAAGAGCACATAGAGGTCACTAAAACATTAAAAGATTAAATGCCGATAACTACTCGCTGGACAAACCTTAATTGTTTTATGACCCTTCACGCAGAACTCTTCATTGACAATTCTAGAAAGAAAATTCGGATTGCCAACACACAAACAGAATGTCTCATATCGAGAATATTCCACATTGAACATGAAGAAAAATTAATTATTTTTAATAATATGTAAAAATCTCCACTTTCACCTGAAGACGGTTTGCGAGACCAGACCAGAAACACGTGTCGTGAAATTATGTAAAACAAAGTATAATATTTTTTCAATAAATCCATTACAACCAAAAACGTTTACGGCACCCCTCTTCTTTTTAATATACATACTTTTCTCTCGTTGGAACCACTACAACATATTTCTTTTATATATATATATATATATATATATATATATATATATATATATATATATATATATCGAAAAACCTGTGTCTTTTTTGCAAATAATGTACCAATACCAAAAATGAAAAAAAGTATAACCTATTTTAACCACAACATTTTGTCTTCAAATAATCGTATTTTTTTCAAAGCTCATTATCTTTTCTACATAAACAACAAATAAAATCTTTCTCAGGTGTGACTTACTGAACAAAACTGATTCCATATTAACCGTGTCTTAGACTAAACTCTGTCATTATCAACTTGTGCGTAATAAGAAATTTAATTTGTTTCAAGGAATGAATTGTGTCATTCAGTTATACTTAACTGTACTGTTGTCTGGCCTAGCTGTGCATTTGACAAATACATACATACAAATATATATATATATATATATATATATATATATATATATATATATATATATATATATATGTGTGTGTGTGGATGTAGTGTGTAAAGGTAAAATACAGTAAAAATAAACAAAATTATTAACCGACGCTGTTCGTTTTAATATTATTATTATTATTATTAATATTATTATTTTTGTTATTTGTTTTTTGCTTTGAAAAAAGTTCATTATGGATAATTACGCGTCGGATAATAATACATTCTTTTTGACATTATCTTTTACCTTTATACATAGTCTTTTTTTTCAACCGGTTAACTGAGACATTGTTCATTATATATATATATATATATATATATATATATATATATATATATATATATATATATATATGACGCATGGTGGAGTTTGAATAAAAGCTTATATTGAAACAATCGAAATCACTCTTCGAAACCTTTCAGTTTCAATACATTCATTTTACTAATTCAGGCAATGGAAAGGTATTATACTACATCTACCTCCTTTATTTTTATAGGAGGGTTCGATTAAACGAAAAAGATAAAAACTGGTCTCCATGTATTTGGACAACAGCTGAATTCAAAACCTGTCTTGAGGGTGTTTGAGGACCTTGTTGTGCGTTATTTTGGAGAAATCTGTATTCGGCCCTTCAAAAGTGTGTTTGATTCTTCAAACACAATGTTACAAGCCACCACCATAAAAAATGTTCTGATTAGTGACATTTTTGACTCCAGTAGTTTGACCCTCAAACCCCAAATTTCATTCAAGTTTTCATATAGAAGCTTTTTCAAATATAATTCAGGTAATTCGATCCAACTCTATCCTATTTAAATAATGTTTGTACATTTTTGTAAATATTTATTGGGGTTAGTTTTTTAAACTTAAGATATTGTCATCAAATATTTTAAAATTGATGCCGTTATGATCCAGACATAGCTGACAATGCGATACTATAGAATCAACATTTCCAAGATTTGTTTTGATTTCAACGATATTGTGTTTCCATCACCTTTTCTTGCTTCAGAGGAAAGTTTGACATCCGGGATCTTTCCCCAAACCCCCATTTTGGCTTGTGCACATCGTATCATTATATAAATAAATATCGCTATTTTATGATATCTAAATTTTTTGAATTTAAGCGAAGTACTTGGATTGGATCTCAAACACTTCTGTTCAGCCTTTGAACTTTAACTGCATTTTTGTATTTCCATTAGCATTTCATCGTTACCTTTCGTTGTTCAAAGCTACGTCTGGAGTATATTAGTAATAATAAACCTTTAAACTATAAAATAGATTGACTTTTGACAATATACTGTAAAAATGTGTATTTATTTTCATTTTTCCTGTTCTGTTAATGCGATAAAGTGGAAAAAAGCTATGACCTCATTTCGTCTTAGTGGTTTTATTCCTCTTGTTTCTTCAGGTTAGAATGATTAAAAAAACAAAATTGTTTAATTTATGGAAAAATATTACGTTTGGGTCAATTTTGATGTTTTTTAACCATAAATAAAATAATCAGATTTTCTTCTAGAATCTTTAATATTTTTTACAATTAAATTTGTGAAGCATTAACATATTTATTTCAGTGGAGTTGTAAAATATTGATTTTTATTATTTATTGTTGTTATAAATAGCCTAATGGAAATTTAATCAGATAAATTAACGTTACTCTACATTAATAAAAGTATTTTCAAAATAAACGATGTTTTGTGTTTAAAATTTAATGAAAAAAACGTTTTTAGGAGAAAATATATTGTTTTAAAATTAAATATAACAGAAGTTTATTACAAGTAAATGTCCTTCTTCTTCTTCTTTTTCTTCCTCTTCTGTTTCATTTATTCTAAGAAAGACTAAGATTAATAAATTATTTCTTTTAAATCAAGTTCTTGAACATTTTTGATATAAGAAGAGAGGTAAAATTTTCAACATACGCTTTTCATTTGCGAGAAACGGAAATACAGATTACGCAAAAAATAAATTTGATTTCATAGAGTACAGTATTTTCATTAACATTCAAAAAATATTTAATTAACTTCTTCTAACAAGATCAAGTTTCCTGTTTCCTTTTTCTGTGAAATTCTTCAAAAGAGCTTGTCTTTTCAAAGAAAACATGAAATAATATAGCTTCTCCGAAGGAAATAGAATAAATCTTCTTACTTCAATTAAATAAGCTAAAGTTATTCCATTTGCAAAAAAAAAAAAAAAAAATAATAATAAGCCAACTACAACAGATAACTAAAATTAAAACCAAAACTCTTCCCTCCCAGTGGAACGCCAATTATACTTTTCGGATGCACTATGACTTGGCCTGGAATAAACAACGCCATGGAGAGAAAAAATCTGTATCCTACCCAACAAGCTTGTGTAAATTTATGACCTTCTCTGCTTCTTCTTCTCGTAGCAGAGAGTCCCTTTGGATAGTGAAAGACAAACAGTACTATGAGCTTCTCTTTTATAGGAAGTTGTGGAGAGCCAGGATCCTCTACGCTTTGAAAATTTGGCCAAAAATTTCAATAAGAATATACTAATTGAGACTAGGCATACATCTACATATTAAATGTTTTTGCTGGTCCTTCCATTGATGGAAAATAAATATTCAATCTCTAGTTTTGGATAAAAAGAACTTGCTTGGAAAATTGTCATTTTTATTTTTAATAGAAACAAACAGATATGTTTCAGAATTTAGAATATTTAAATATAACATTACATTGATCCATGTTTTGAAATCCATCTCAGAATAGTTGATAGTAAAGCTATTGCAAATATTATTTCAATTCACACTACCGTTAGAACTTGTCAAAGAAAATAAACAATGCCGGAGAAAAAATATGGAAATCACATAAAGACCAAGATCAAAATTGGTTCCAGTTTCCTGAAATGGAATGGAAGAAAGGAAAGATTCAAAGAAAAGAAAGAAATTGAAAAGAAAAAAAGGTCGAATCGAGACACGATAATTCCTTGACGTCTCCTGCTTTTATACCTCAAAAATTAACTGGGTATTTCAATTTGCTTACGTTGGACAACGCTTTCGTTTCTTCAGATAAAAAACACGAAATTACTGAAGGCAATTTGCTTGTTAAACGCAAGAAAGAAAGAGTCTGCTTGAAACTATGCGTAGATAGAAGTCTAGAAAAATTTTGATAGATGGCATGATAGATATTATTCTTGACTACAAGCATTTTGGACAGTACACGTCTTTTTCGGCTCCTGTCAAAGAGATCAGAAAAAATGAACTATTAAATTTTGATTGCGTTTAAAAACGCTAAGTGATTTCCTCTAAGAAACAAAAAAAAAAAGAATGCAGAAGAAACAAAGAAGGCAGGATAGAAAATCTATAACATCTCTTGCAGTATCCTTCTCTAAATAATGGACTATACAATTTTGCTTGCGTGGAAAAACGCTACTTGGTTTCAGTAAGAAAGAAGTGTGACGTCCCTCAACACAGCCTTCGCTCGCTCCTCGCTGCTTCGTTCGGGTGTCGCCGCTCCAAACGTGACGTCCGCCTGTCGCGTCAGTCGTGTTGTCCCGTCCTGTGACGACGAACTGGCTTGGTATCGGTCGCGGCACCCAAATGTGACGTTCTAACCTTTTGGTGATTCGGATGGGAATCTGGTTAGATTCGATATCAGCCTCGTCGTTCCCAACTCGCTTCCAACGTCTGGTTACCAAAGTAACTGCGTTGATCTCCAGTCCGCCTACCCACGTTGTGAATTGATCTTAGGCAGACGAAATCAATCAGTCGTTGGGTCCGTAATGCAAAGAGAGTTCAAACGAAGGTGATATCACACAAATATGCATAAAAAAAAAGAAAATGATAACTCAAAAGTTCAAAGTATCGAAAAAAAGGATAACAATACTTTATATCTGGTTGCTGGATACATAGGACTGCGTCTATCTCCCGACCCGCTATATGGATTGTGACACGTTGTTTTTTTGTTAGGCGAGTTTTAACATCTTTTAAGTGTTTTAAGTTGTCTGTTCTTTAAGAAATTGGTTCTTGGTGTGTCTTCAGGCGAAAGTCGAAAAACTTATTTTGGTGGTATGGATCTAAGTCGCTCTTCAAAATAAATTGTTCTTGGATTGAAGATGAGTTCGGAAGTTGCGCGAATCTTAGTCAGCTGCGAGGCCTGCGTCAACTGAGCACTCTGGATTGAACTCTTCTGAACTGAACTCTCACTCTTCTCTGATGAACTCGGAACTGATCTTTGCTCGCTGCGACTTTGATTATATGGACGCCGACCAAAACCGGGGTGGGTTTGTCGGCGTTGGAGGTTCCTCGATAATTCTAAATCCATATCCACTTCTTTTATTTTTGGTCAGGAATTTTCCACTCCTTTCCATTTTTGGAAGTCTTCTCTTACTCCCACCTTCTCTTTATTCTCATGATACTTCAGAGGGGCGTCAACGGTTCTCCCCACTTCCTCGCAGCAACCTCTCATACCCATCCTCTAAATGGGCGGCGGCGGCTTCCTCCTTGCGTCACGTGATCACCCGTCTGGCCCTCGTTATCATTCGCCCAATGGCGTCCAGCCGGGTGTGTGATCCAGCTGGCTTTGTTTTAGGAAGAAAAAAACATATCTTGCTCAAAAAAAAAAAATTATCTTTTCTTTTCTTTTCTTTCCTTAATCGCAGCTCTCATCTTCTCTGGCCGCCAACAGAACAATGCGACCAGTAGTGTGATAACCTCAATTCTCATCTGGACTTCGTCAGCCAGATTTTCGCCAATTATCAGAATGGGTGGTCGTCCAGCAAAACGGCCAACCCTCGTCCGATAAAATTGTTTCATTGTTCTATCATTCCATTCTAACAAAACCCAGACCTTGTCTAACGATATCTTCCCTATACGAAGTCTTAACCTAAAAAACCTTTTGTTTTCTCAGTTCGTGGGTGGTCAGCAGTCCGTGACACAGTTAAATGTTTATATATCTGTCCAAAGCCCTGTAGTTTGTTCTAGCCGGTCTGAATTGGTTTTCTCTAGTCGGTCTGTGGTTAGATGTTCGCCAGCATTAAGTGGCTGTTATCTATCCCCGATAACACAAGTTCGCCACCAGAACATAGTCGATTTTCTTATCCATTTAGAATTTTTCTGCGATGGTAATGAAACCTTTCACCATTTGCGACTTATCAAAATAACATTGTCAATGTCCCCGGTCGTGGGTGGCTTCTTTTATCATCTAAGCTTAAGTCTCGCTTCTCTTTTCCTTTCTTTCCTTTCTCTTTTTCCTTTCTTTTCTTTTTGTCCTGGTAAATGGTGTCACAGAAGGAAAGAAAGTAAGAGGGGAAGATAGAAGACTTTAACGTCTCTTGCCAATACCTCATAAATAATGGACTATACGATTTTGATTGCGTGGAAAACATATCAAAAATGCTACTTGGCTTAAGAAAGAAAGAAAGAAAGAAAGAAAGAAAGGCGTTTCAGAATTCTATTTCAGTGAAATGGAAAGAGTTGCCAATTTCCAATTTTTAAGTTATTAAGCTCAAATATTTAAAATGCGATCGGGGAATTTCTACGAATATCTTATTGTCTTAAAACTCACCATGAGCTAATTCAATCATTAATTTAAGATTCATCAGAAAGACTAAATAGGGAAACCGTGTTCATTCTTTGATAGTTATTTCCTTAGTTTGCATGACTGCTGCGCTTTGTCAATTACTACGTTATTAAGGTGAGGACACGGATTAAAAGTGCATTTTTGCATTGTGGTCTTATAAATTGTGCTGTATCATAGAAACAGGCTTCTATATATTTTTCCAGTCGAGCAAGAAAATTATATATGCTGATTCTGTTGTCAAAAAATCAAGGAGATATTACAAAGAAAGTATATAATTGTATTTATTCTATAAAGCGCTCATTTAATTTTTTTACGTTCTATCGACATACGAAACATAAAAACTAGTAAATTTTTAGAGGAGTTATTACTCTGAGTATATTATTATAAACTCCCTAACATTTAAATATATAAAAATTACTCGTAAAGTGAGAAACAACAAAACATGGAAACAACAAAAGGAGTATTATTTTATTATGTGATTGTTATGTGGTGCTGAAGACAAGAGAGACAGTAATACTGAGTAAACTTTGAGGTCAAATATAGATCAAATATGGATCGGAATCAAGCGGAATGATAAGATAAAGAATAAGTAAAATGTGTATAGTCTTTCTCGTAGTTTTTTTTTTTTTTTTTTTTTTAGATGTGCTTGATGTGTATCCAGATAATTTAGTTTGAAAATAAAGATGTGTCTGTTTTATATTTACCTCGAACTGTTGAGTGCTAAAAGATGAAAGTTAATATTATACCCTGAAATACGAAAAGGAGATTAAATTTTCGGTGACGCACATGTTAGTGACCTGTCTGTGCGAATTGCTTATCCGATGGTGAGAATGACACGGATTTGTGTGTGCAGTAGAGAAAAGTTGTGGTCGGTTCTCGTGGGTTTAGAAAGAGTGAATTAATAATAATTATAATTGATATCATTGACATTTTTGATACTACATTTAATTTGTTTTATTTATTTTCATGGACAAGACAATTTTTAATAAAAAATAGTAAGACTGTGGAATTTCCATATAACTCAATTTAATCAAGACTTTAAAACGCACTACGCATAAGAATAATGAATAGACAATAGTGTGAATGTCAATTCTGGGTACTCAAAAAACGATTTCTTCAAAGCTTCTACCGATGATTTAGAACTGTACTTATAAGTTTCTTCATTTTTCTTTTCTTTTTTTTTTCATTACGAGTGAAGGAGGAGGGGGGGCTTCTTAAGTAGGTTAACTAAGAAATAGGGATCACCATAGCCTGACTGAGCCGACGCTGGATTTGAATGCCGATTTTTTTTCTTCTCCTAGAATGAAAAAAAAAACGGTTTCTAACCAAGGCTATGTTGCTATTTACCCATAGCTGGGTAAGAAGAAAAGGATTTATACTTTCCCCAAGGGTATTAGCATGTAAGTTACTGTAATGCATCCATCTGGAGTTCGAACTCCGCTCTGGGATTACTTCATCTGCTATATTTTACTCCAGTGTAGCTCTTCATTATGTTAACCAATAAGTCAATTACAGCTTGTATTCCATTCATTATTATCATATACGTTTGAATGTCTAGAGATGATTCTATTTACTTGAAAGTGCTTTTTAATTACCCATAAATTGTGACTTGTCAATTTTCAAGTGTCTAGAAGTGTCTGCTATGTGTGCACCCGACTTCAAACTAAAACCAAAAGGAATAGATTTTAACTTAAATATTTTAAACACACACACACACACGGCAAGTTAGTTTTAAAAACACTGCGACAAACAAATTTTCTTCCGAATCTTTTTTGCAGAACCGAGTTCTTTTCAAATGTTTATCTGCAAACACTAACAAGTTTCCAGTTATTAAAGTCCATTTTCTGAGCAAAATCCAAAATAACTTAATCATCTTCCTATTGTATTAGGTTGGTGCAAAATAATGTCGTTTTTTTGACGTTCAACTTAACGTCAAAAAACGACATTATTTTGCACCAACCTAATAGCTATTAAACAACTTATAAACATTCACAAAAGTGATATTGTCATGCACAGACAGACTGTTTCGCAGTATCACAGCTCATCAGCGTGGCTACACATCCGATTGCTTCAGGTCAGAATAGACACCTGACTGACTCGATAAAAGTGGTAGATTTTTCCCCTAAGCCATCGGCGCAAACTTGAAAGAAAAACATATTTTTACGTACTTAACCTGAGAATAATCACGCCAATGACTGACAGTGCTCAATTCAGGAAGAATTTGCAATATTAGTAGTAAAAGTCATTGTTTACAAATTCGCACTTATCTCCCAAGTGTGCACAAGTTATTCAGGTGAGTATATATTGTCATCTCCACCACCACACATATATATTGTTTTTCCGCACACACACACACACACACACATATATATATATATATATATATATATATATATATATATATATATATATATATAACCGCAGTTAGCAAGGTCGATTTTAGTGTTTTTAAACTACAATTCTCCATAAAAAATCGACTTTACTAACCGAAAGTATCCTCTGTGGCTCAATCGGTAAAAGCACGTCCGGCTATATGACGGTTCCGTATATACGTTTTTTGCTTGTCATTTCTCTGTTTGAATAAAACAATTTTTTTTTAATTATTTGAATAAAACAGAATTTTTTTT